TCTTCAATTGAGGCATTTCTGGCAGCCAGCAAGTCCACTTGCAAAAGTATTCAGGCTATCTATCTACCCCGCAGCATGATTCAGCTCTTCGGTTCCGGGTTGGGCTGTGGGGTTTAGGGTTTAGGGTTTAGGGTTTAGGGTTTAGGGTTTAGGGTTTAGGGTTTAGTTTTTAGGGGGGATGAGAGAAGGCTTCGGTGTTTCCCTGGACATGCGAACTGTTCATGTGGATGCCGGCTGAAGAGTGCCGACTTTGTACCTTAAACCCTAAACCCTAGACCCGAAACCCCAAACCCTAAAACCCTAAACCCTACACCCCAAACCCTAAACCCTAAACCCTACACACCCCAAACCTTTCACAAGGCCCCCAAGCCTCCTCTAGGCGAAGGATCGCAACCTCCAGCTGCTGGATGGCTGGGAGCCAGTCTCCTCGGAGCTCACCCTGAGGCCCAGTCTGTTCAGGGTTTAGGGTTTAGGGTTTAAGCTTTCAGTGTTCAGGGATGCCATCATTACGATTACTACAAACTACGAATGAATTTACAACTAGCAATTATAGCATGATAATTACTGATTACCAATTTCGAATGACTGATGGCTGGTTACTATTGCTATATTATTACTCTTCATGATGCTGCTAAAAAGTTCTGTGGGTACATGATAGGGTGTTTAGAAGGATCATGCCGAGTCGCCCGGCACATTGACCCCAGGGTTTAGGGTTCAGGTTTAGGGTTTAAGGTTTAGACCGTTTCATCGAGTTTGGGCGTCACGACCACAGACCATTTGGGGCTGAAGGATCGAACCGCGCGCGCGCGCGCGCGCGTACCACCTGGTATTTGTTGGTGATCGCCCCATGCAGACCTATGTTGATTCAGATTCAGTTTGTGCTGGAGAGGTGCATTTTTGGGCCGCGAACACGGATTTTATCTTGCAGTTGGGTCTCTTGTGTACTCGGCAGGGACCTCCACATCCGCGGCCGCGTCCCAGCCCACGTGCGGGGTGGCATCTTTCTGCGCAATGGACCAAATCAGGCTCGAGGTTTGCTACTGTCCCACAAGTTGTCAATGTCACGACTTGAGCAGAAGCACGTTTAACATGTGGACAGGCCTTGCACAAAGACCATGGCCCCAACCCTGAAGCTCGTTGATCGGTTCCTGCAGTCTTTGCGCAATTGTACCTGGCAACTTGCGAGTCTCTGAACCCTAGCCCTAGCCGTGATATGACCTCTAGGTTACCTCGTAGTCTGCATGATGGACTGCACCTCTCTTCTTACCTCTTAATTAGCTGGCAGGGTTTGGTCGGCATGCAACTTCAGGGAGTCCTCGCAAAGGCTTGCGTTCCTGCGTAGCGGGTGTGTGAGGCTGCTAGTCAGGTGGCCAGAAGCTTGTTGATCATGCTGCTCATATAATGATAATGTATATGATAATCATACATGTATCACCGTCTACAAACTTCTCTTGCTGCATTTAGAGAAGCACTCTACATGAAATAAACAAAAGAAGTATTCTGAAGTGCCTGGCCGCAGGCCATGGCTCCTGTCTCGATGCAGGACCAGGGTTGCAAAAGGCTTCGGGGTGCGGTGGCGAGCCCTAATTTTGAGCCGACCTGGTTGGCTCCAAACTTTGTGGTACTTTACTATAACTTTAGATCTTTACCTTTTTTGGGGTTATTGGGTTTCTTAATAAGGCAGCTAAAAATTTAATTTTTAGCTACCCTCCTAAGGGCAGCCAAGGAAAAAAACACCAAGGATTGCAAGATGTCCCAGACCCTGACCCCTGAGGTCTTGTTCTCCCTAAACCTCAAACCCTCCAGACTCCGAAGAAAGCGAGGGAGACCGGCAAGCCTCTGCGTACCGGCGGCAGAATAAGGGCTTCGCGGGTCTTCAGGCATCTCAGCAACTCCTTGCCTGTAGCAAGAGATGCAAGGTCTTGGGAGGATTCGGAGGTTTTCATGTGGCCCAAATGCAGGATTACCACATCTTCGACGGCCATGGAATGATTCATGCGGTGCACTTCTTGGGAGAGCACGAGGCTCCTTGAGCCTGAGAACCACAAAGCACATGGCATGTCTCCGGTAGCGAGCGTCTCGAAGCCGTGAACTGGCTTCAGGAGCCAGGTGTAATTGGGCTTTCGGGTAAAAGGGTTTCATGGGTTTAGGGTTTAGGGTTTAGGGTGTAAGGTTGCTTGAGGTTTAGGGTTTCCGTGGTTATAAAAGCTGATACGACTGTACGACTCGCCGAGCCCTGTCGAGAGGCGACCTATACCCGGCGGTACGTCCGGACGCAGGCGCTTCAGTTCGAGGAGTCGCAGGGCCAATGCCTCTACACTGGCATGAAGAAGATGCTTCCACAGCCACTTGGGCTGTTTAGGGCTTTTCCTGGCCGGGAGCCCTCAAAAACCCTGCTTGTATGTTGCATGGCGTTTCAATTTCGACGCTTGTTTGCTTCGAGGTTCCCGACCTTCTTCTGGCTCCTGTTTGAGAAGTACTTCGGCTCCTCGGGAAGCACAGACTCCCCCTACTGGGTCATCCAGAACCGGAATCCGGTGGCCCGGCCGCCAGCAGAGGGCTTGTTGTCTTGGTAGACCCTTGAGACATTCCATTTTGTCCCTTATTGGCTTTAAGAGGATCATTTTCAGGAATGTTGTTCAGAGGGTTTTAAGGGCCATCCCAGTTGCAGGCACCTACGCGTGCAGGGTCTAGGGTCGCGCCGTTGCTTGCTTGCTAATGCTTGGTTGGCAAATGTTGGCAATGTGGGGCGTGCATCTGCATCAAGATGTTGATCTTACCTGAAGTCGTTGCTGTATGCCCTTAAGACAAAAACCTGCACATGCAGACCCGAACTCTAGGAAAGGAGCACTCTTAACGCCCTACCAGTGGTTAAACACCCCTGGCGTTCCCAGAAGTCTGCCTAGAAGACCCTGAATACCCCTGCAGTCTTCAGCCTTAGCGGTACTTTGAAATCATTTTTAATTTTTGGTTACTACAATCCCACAGGAACAGCTAAATGTTTGGTTTTGTTAGGTTGTCAAGTTCTGTATAGCAGCCCCAGAGACCCTCAACCCCCTGATCAAGGCCAACAATGGCTGCACCGTCCATGCTGGGCGGGTCCTGGCGACCTGGGAGGTCTGGGGACTGGGGTTTAAACAGTTGGGGTTTAGGGTTGAGGGTTTAGGGTTTAGGGTTTAGAGTTTAGGGTTTAGGGTTTAGGGTTTAGGGTTTTTCAGTTCAAACAGCTTGGGGCCCGTGGACCCTATACCCTTCGGAATAATTACTAATTGTCTTCCCTTAGTGGTCCCTTTAGAATAATACCCCCAATGACCCCGCTATACAGGTTTAACTGGGCAATATATATATATATATATATGTGTGTCTATAGATAGATATTTATATATACACACACATATATATATATATTCTATTTATACTTATATTTATATGTATAATTCTGCTTATTGTTATTCATTTATGTATAAAGCACCCATGGACCATGGACATCCGCCAAGTATGAGAGCCGGTCAGCGGTGAACGCATTGCCGTTCGAAACCTTTAATTTTTTGTGCGCCTAAGCCCTTTCCCATACAAGCCCTGTCATGCTCACGCCCTACTAGCCTGCAAATCAGAAGCGGGGGCAGAGAAGCTCGCCAGGCAAGTCTGAGAGCCGACGCCGAATCTCCCAGGAATCTGGAACTTTGAGCCTTGTGTAAATATAGTATAGTATAGTATAGCATAGCATAGTATAGTATAGTATACTAAAAATAGTTAACCTATTTTGGGGCTACAGTATTCAGCCCCAAAGTTCAACACCTTGGACTCCCTAGACCCGAAATCCGCAGTCAACATGATCTTAAACATGACATACTGCAATCCTTACAGGCCGGCTGGGCCTATGAGATGAGACTTCCGGACCTGGAGACTGGGACATGGTTTAGGGTTTACTGTTTAGGGCTTAGGGCTTAGGGTTTAGGGTTCAGGGTTTAGGGTTCAGGGTTTAGGGTTTAGGGTTTAGGGTTTAGGGGCTTGAACTTGTAATGGTTCGGCTTTCCGGGCCCTGAGCTCCCAAAGCCACATCGGCCCTTTACGATGCCTCTTAGAAACCCAGATCTTTCAAAACCCCTTAAGTGAGGTATATACCCTAATTCATAAGAAGGATCCTTCGTATAAATTAGGGTACATTCCTGAATTAAGGGGTTTTGGAAGATCTGGGAATGGGAGGGGACGGGAAGCGCAAGAATGAATCGGTTTTCGGATGGTACCTCATCAACACAAAATCTTTGTGTGGCCCTAAGCAAGCCCTAAGCCTAAACCCTAAACCCCTCAACCCTAAACCCCTAACCCCTCAACCCTAAACCCTAAACACTGCAAGGATACCTTGGGCCTCTTCTCCTTCGAGGGCTCCTGGAAGGATGGGGCCGTCACGGACAACTGCAGCGCGCACGGCAAGCAGGATGTGGGCTGTTTTTTGGTCCAGGGTTTAAGGTTTAGGGTTTAGGGTTTGGGATTTGGGGTTTAGGGTTTAGGGTTTGAGTGTATAGGTTTCGGGGTTGGGGTTTGGGGGTTGCTGTTTGAGTGATTTAGGGTTCTGGGGTAGGGTTTTGTTTGGTGCGGGCGGTAGGGCTTGGGATGCAAAACAAGGTGTCAGGGGCTTGCGTTAGGGTTGTCTTGATGAGCTCTGGTGTTGATGGCGTTGCTCTGAGCCTGAGCAAGATTTTGACACCTTCTGGTTTAGGGTTTAGGGTTGGCCCAAAACGCTGAGCCCTGGAGCAGGACCCAGGAACCATTATACCCTATGGCCCAAACCCCTGAGCCCTAGGGCAGGACCCAGAAACCGGGCAGCTCATCACGATCTCCTACAACATGATCGAGCTGCCCCCTTGGCTGCGCGTGCTGCTGGGACCCATCAGGGGGGTTGCAGGCTTGGCCCCGAACCCTTGGGGTTTTAGGATCTAGGGTTTATAAGGTTGAGGGTTTAGGGTTTGGGTTTATAAGGTTGAGGGTTTGGGGTTTGGGGTTTAGGGTTTAGGGTTTAGGGTAGGCTGTTTCTTCTGACCTTTACCAGGCACTTCGGGGAGCCCTGGTGCTGGTGGAAAAAAAAGGGTTTATAAGGTGCCTCCAAGGACTCGCAGGTGTCCGTTTTGTGGCACTGGAACCCTAAACCCCGAAACCCTAAACCCTAAACCCTAAACCCCTAAACCCTAAACCCTAAACCCTAAACCCTAAACCCTAAACCCTAAACCCCTAAACCCTACAGTCCCAAGGATAACGGCCAGTGCAGACGGCACACTGGAGAAGACGGTCAAGGTTCCTCTACCTTCGGGGGCAGCCCTCCTGCACGACTTCGGGATCACCAGCACCCGGGTCATCCTGAATGTGGGGCCCCTGAATCTTGGGGATTCTTTGGAACAACTTTTGTAATTGTTGGGCACTATAATTCCTAAGAAACAGCAGCAAAAAGCACACAAAATTAGCTAGGGTTCCCCCCAAAATCAGTAGAGGAATCTGGTGACCCTACACCCTAAACCCTAAACCCTAAACCCTAAACCCTAAACCCTAAACCCTAATAGGAATCTGGTGCCACTGAAGATGGTGAGCGGGGCTCCCCCCTTCGACTTCGACTTCTCGGCGAAGCTGCCTGCTTGCAAGTCAGCAGGCCTTGAAATGGGGGTTTAGGGGTTAGGGTTTAGGGTTTAAGAAAATGCTACTGATTGCTTAAGAACCCCAAAAGAATAGAAAATACTAATCCCGGTATTAACCTTAGCACGGAAGAATATTTTACTTTTTCTGGGTTCTTAAGCGATTGGTAGCAGAGGGGTACCCGTTTTGGAAGTTGCTATAGCCAGGATGATCGTATTGTGGGGGGGGGGGGGGTACATTACTTTGTGGTACTTTACTATAACTCTAGATCTTTAGCCTTTTTGGGTTCATTGGGTTTCTTAATAAGGCAGCTAAAAAATTTTGATTTTTAGCTACCCTCCTAAGTGCAGCCAAGACCTAAACCCTAAACCCTAAACCCTAAACCCTAAACCCTTGCTTTGGGACATGCCCAAGTTGGTATCTTGCATGGAGTAAGCGAGGCCATGTCTGCTTGGCGTCGGAGATGTCCTGTCCTGAGCTGCTAATTGCTCAAGAACCCCGAAAAAAACTAAAAAAAGGCATTCTTCCTTATTAAGGGTAATCTAGGGATTGTTTTTTTTCTTTGCACATAGTCCTGAGGTGCTACTTCGGCATTCTCAGTCGTTCCTCAGACTCCGCAGACGATGTCATCTGGGTCGAGGCAGAGAACTGCTTCAACTTCCATGTTCTGAATCTTGGTAGCGCAGTGGTACCCTTTACCCTTTACTCTTTACCTTTTTTTTGGTTCTGGGTTCTCTCAGAAAGGAAGCTAGCCAAAAAAGGGTGCCCTTGCTAGAAGATGGTTACTGGTCTACCAAGGAATGCGTACGATGATCCAACTGACCCCAACAGGGTCATTGTGCACACCTTCCGACAGGAGCTTGGAGGCATTTGCTGGCAAGGACCCTTTTTCTCGATTCCCGGAGACCCCCAAAATGCACCAAAGCCTTGAACCCTCAAATCCAGTGCCTTTCCGGATGGCAAAAGAAAGCCTTCTCCGTGACGAGCCTCTGGCAAAAAGCGACTCTGATTGGGCTTTCGGTTCTTATGTTACGGGACTCTACCACCCTGAAGCCCTTGTAGCCCAAGCATGCCGAGCCTAGGACTACACTTTGGGCCTTGGCATGGGCTCGAAGCTCAATGAGGCTGCGCATCAACAGTCCTTGTGGTTGCGGAGTGCATATACGCGTTAGATGTTGAATCTTGTACTTCAGGGTGTCAGAACTGTGGACGACAAGCTCAGTGGGTGTCAGAAATCTGGGACGACAAGCTCAGTGGTTGCTGGAAGTTGTGTTTGAGGTTTTCGGGTTGAAGCTCAGTTACAGCTCAACAAAAGCTTCAGATCATGTAGATTTAGGGTCGAAAGTCTAGCTCTGGGGCAGGGTTAGGGCATCCGACCTTGTTATCAGTCTCCGTGCCGGGAGTGCCGGCAGCCAAGCCGATGCATGATGTCCTAACCTTTCAGCTAAAAGGATGGCAGGTGTAGGGTGGCCGTTTCTCGGTTTGACCGAAAGAAAGGCGAAGGTAGAACATGAGGGAACATCCATGCTTCGCATGTCGGGATTGATTGAGGTCTTGAGGTGGACATCGGCTGAGGTAAGGGTTTAGGGTTTAGGGTTTAAGGTTTAGGGTTTAGGGTAAGTACCTGTGAGGGTTGGGGACAGCTGTGTGCAAGATCCTTCACAGGGGACCCAAGGACTTGTGAACACTCTGTCGCAGCCCGCCCTTGGTGAGGAGACACGGACATCACCCCACGGCCGACCATTGCAAGGGGACACCGCCGTGCTGCATCGGTGGGCCGCTTGGGGTCGACAGAGGTGGTTGTTAAGAATCGGACAAGCCCCCACTGGCATCAGTCAGTCAACTGAACCAAATCTCCGCCAACTGCATGGCGAAACCTGAACGCTGAAGTTCGTTTGCGATGTGGAGCACGCCAAACTCGAAACACAAAGCCTTCGGTGAAGTGCGCTCTTCATATCTGCCAGTGCGCTGCTGTTTTGTGCTCCTGCTCTGGTTTTCGGGTTCCCGCATTGACCGACCTTGGTTTCCCACGAAAGAAATTTTGGAGGCGCCTCGGCTCGCCTGTGCGTTGCATACGGTTAGGACACTTTGTGTGCCGCGGTGACCCAGGTCCTGGACGTCCAGGAAGCAAGAGTTGTGCAGAGCAAACGCTTGCACGAGCCGCCTACTGGACCGAACAGGAGCGAGATGTGAGACTTGGGTGGTTGCTTTTGCATGTCTATTACGTAGATTTGATCTGCACTTTCCACAGACGCAGAAGTCAAGCAACACCCTTCTAAAGGTCTCAAGTGTCCATTGACCCGTGTACCTCTCTTGGCTCTACAACCATCCGCAGAGTGACCGCAGCCGAGAACTTGCAAGGCTTTTCTGATATATGTTTATATATTTATGCATGCATGTATCTATGTATGTGTATGTATGTGTATGTCGATTTACATGTAGATACATATGTTTATGTATTTAGTTATACGTGTATATGTATATGTGCACTTGTATCTACATGTATTCTTATGTTCACAAGGTTACGCGTACTTGTGCTTGAACCACTCATGCACCCCAACCCCGAGGTCCCACCAATGCGGAGTCTCCTCGGAGTCTCCTCTCTGCTTTGAAGCTCAAGATCGTGCTAAGTTGTGATTTTGGGTTTCAGGGCTTCTTGATGATGTCGGATTTTGGATTTTTGGGTTCAGGGTTAGGGTTTCGGGTTTAAATGGAGTGTGTGGCTTCGCTGGGTAGAGTACAGAGCAACGCTGGAGGGCATGATGGGCTGGGAAAGCTTCATTCAAGAACCCGAACTGACCCCAAACCCTAAACCTTATATTGAAACCCCAAACCCTAGACCCTATAAACCCTAAGCCCTACACCCCTAAACCCCAAGCCCTAAACCCGAAACCCGAAAAACGCCCACAGGAGCTGGCTCTCCGACTTCGGGGCCGTGAACCCTCGCCGCCGGGCTTGAGAGTCATGCCGTCGAGGAGAGGAGGCTTCAGAAGGCACAAGGTAAACCGCGAATTGCGACTTATTGTTGTCATTATTATGATTATTACAATCTTTTATATTATTTATTATTTTTAGTTGTTTTTTTTTTTTTTGGGGGGGGGGGGGGGTTCTGACCGTGGCGTGGTGATCCATGCGGATGCCAAGCAGGGGGGGGGGGGGGGGGAGGCCAAGCAAGAGCCCATGAAGAATCACATGCGATACATCGCTTCACAACTCCTTCCTGCAATCGAGGCTACGTCGGCAGGCCGCACTGCTTCGGTTGGTCTTTGGGCGGCTGGACAAAATCTCAGGTTTGGGTGTGCTTCTACGGTGTGTATGCTTGGCCATCGAGTTGTTCGGCACCCCTGCGGCACTGCATCGGCATGATACTCTCCCGGTCCCAGGCACAACCAGCACCGCAACTTCAGGAGTAATAATATATTATTCTGCTGAGGGCTTGCTTCGCACTACCAAACTAAGGCATACGGCCGCTCAGGATTGTTCTTGTTCCACCTCAGTTTTTTGAAAGCGCTTGCTTGGAGGCTGCCTATATAGCCTGCAGGAGGGCGCGGCGCGAGAAGATTAATTTCAGCACCCCCAAAGCAAATGACATATTACAACGGGTAGTCTAGGTAGGGAAGCAGGGTTTAGGTTTTTTGGTTTTAGGGTTTGGGGTTTAGGGTTTATAGGGTTTAGGGGTCCTGAAGCCCCAACGGGTTCTCCCAGGATTTGCCTCTGAGATCCAAGAAGGCGCTGCAGTGCCCGAGGGCTCCGTGGCACGCTTCACCAAAGCACCTCAGCTACAGTGGGGGTTCGGGGTTGGGGTTTAGGGTTTAGGGTTTAGGGTTTAGGGTTTAGGGCTTAGGGTTTAGGGTTTAGGGTTTAGGGCTATGAATAACTCGGCCGAGCTTTACAATCCCCAGTTAGGGCTGAAGTTTGGGTGGCAATTTTTGAGAGGCCAAGGGCGGAGTGTTTGAGAACCCAAGCTATGAGGGTCGCGAGGTCGGACTGCCTGCGGTTGCGCGTTTAGGGTTTAGGGTTTAGGGTTTAGGGTTATAAGGGTTCTAAGGACAAACACACAGTCGAAACCTCCAGCAACAGATTGCAGGGCAGGCCCGAGTCCCTGTATTCCGGTGGCTGCGTTTCTGTTACTTGCGTTGCCATGATTACACGGATGAGGCTTTGAGGTTTTGCTCAGATTTCCGGGCCGCAGATCCCTGCCAGTTGAGGGTTCGAAGAGCTTCAAGGCTTGGCACTTCAGTTTGGAATCGCATTCGGGAGACGGATGATTGAGAGGGGCTTGTGGCAAATTTCAACAGGAACCTGTTGTCCTGAACCTGAAACCTGAACGCCGCCTAATTTACATTGGTCCCATAAAGCTGCGGCTGCTGAAGCCAAGGTGTTGAAGCATGATCTCGTCACAGGTGAGCTCCTGGATGGCAAATTCTGTGTCGGTGTTGGGAGGGAGGTGTGGTTGGGTGTTTGGCTACAGGCTCCAGGTTGGAGTCTGCCAGCCTCAGCCCCTCTATGGCTCTACGGCAGGTCCAGCCAAATCTCATCACGAAGCTTTCCCCAAAAGCCTCACAGATCTCAAACCAGCCCACGCTGAGCACGGAAGCAGTTTGTGCCTCCGTACAATGCGCAGAGAGCCCGCAAGACTTGAGATAAGACACGAAAGAGCGCACCTCCTAGGCTGTTTGAACACGACCTCCGCGAAAGTGCAGGCCGTGGGCGTAGGGCCAGTTTCATGTCCCCTGCTGCCCCGAGCCCTGCAGGCCATGCATTTGCTTATTGCTTACTTTCTGTTGGAAATCCCCATCCCCCGGTCAGGTGAGGGCTGAAATTTGTAGACACCCAGACACCTACAGTCCGAAGTAGCTGCTGTTGCGTGACGCGTTTCTCCCCCAGTAGCTGGTGGGAGCCCAGTTTTCAAAACGATCCGCAGCAGCCCTAAAGCCGCAAAAAGCCAAACCATGACTCCCACCTTCAAAACCTGGAATCTTCATCCCCCCCTCCCCCCCCCCCCCCCCCCCTGTGAGGTGCGGCGGAAGCCGAGGAGGGGCGCTTCGTTTGCAATGACCTGACTGTGGTTCCAGGAGTGGGTGGAGGCTGGCAAAGAGGGCTTCCTCCTCCCCTTATACTAACAGCCCCTAAACCCTAAACCCTCAACTCTAAACCCCAAACCCTAAACCCTAAACCCTACTCTAATCCCTGGGCTGGAACTGTTAGTCTGGGGGAGAACATCCCAAGCTGGGGCCTTTGCGCGAGCTTATTGTTAAACGCCTTTGTGGCTGTTGAGATATGAAGGACTTTCGGAACCTACAGTTCTTCACTGTTTCGATCCTTCTTGTTCTTATAAACCCTACTGAAGAAGGGTTTCTGACAGACCATGGATTCCTCGTCAAGCTCCCGTTTAAAGCCCCCCTTTAAACCACAAAACCCCTCAGCCAATTGCGGGGGGGGGGGGGGGTGGGCGCGAAAACATCCTGGAGACAAGCTCCCTTACTACTGGTGCCGTACCAGCTTCAACGAGCATGTTCCGATCATGTCAGAGCACTTTGGCAATACCCAAAGGCTCTTTTGTACCGTTTTGGGGTAGTACACTAGAATCCCTTATAACTACCCAAAAAGGAACTACATTGGAGCCTTTGGGTATACATCAATAGAACAGGGTCTCCTCTTCAGGGAGGCGATAGCTAGCAAGACGCTCCTCGTTTTTTCATTTGAAGCCTGCAATCCCTGGGAAGCGCAGGCGAGGAGGACGCTTCGCTCGTACTGCTGGTGCACGACCTGGAGGAGGCGATCAAATATGAGCAAAGTGTTTAGGGTTCAGGGTTTAGGGTTTATGAGTTGGGAGCTGAAGCTAGACCCTGGATGGGTACCCAGCATAGTCCCCATACAATCAGGAAACACATATCGCTTCAATTAAGTTACCCCAATTTATACCGCTCTAAATAGCTTGGCCGGGAGTGGTGCGCAGACAAGCTGTTTCAGCCATCATACTTCTTTGGAATGGTACCAAAACGTGACCAGCCTAGGCTGCCTATAAAAAAGGGCTTGCCATTTTTTGGAGGGCCTTTTTTAAATCTAGTTCTACCCCACTTTGGTGGCAACCTGTTTTTTGAACGCTGTTGACACATGTGCTAGGGTACCCCTTGTGGTGATAACCAAGGGTTTTGTGACAGATTCTGAAGGGTTTTTGGGACGTGGCTTGCCTACCCCAAAGAGAAAAGGTGGGCGTTGTGCTTTTGCCATTTCGTGCCGGCATGCCCGGAAAATCCCGAAACACGTCGAAAAGCTATGTTTCATGCTGTTTCACTGTTGGGGGGGGAATTGTTTAAGGGCAGCGGGGCCAGCGCGGAGTCAATCTCAACCACTTGACAGGTCTGCAAAGTGCCATTCCATCAAGTAAAGTCTTCAAGATTTGGGGCGAACCCCGCACCAAGCTACTAGTATCTAATAAACCCTAAATCCTATAGACCCTAAACCCACTTAGTAGTACTCTGACTCATCAACCCATGGACCTTGCCTGCCTTGTGCGAGAGTGAGCGTCTAAACCCTAAACCCTACACCCTAAACCCTAAACCCTAAACCCTAAACTTAAACCCTAAACCCTAAACCCTACCGAACCTTCTGGAGAGGAGACGGCCGAGCTCAGGGTCCTGGATGCCTCCACTCTGAAGCTTGACTCTTAAGGCCCCCAACTTTGCAAGGCTCCTGCTTTCGCTCGCAAAGCTCTAGCAGCCTGTGGGATTTGGAGGTTAGGGTTTAGGGTTTAGGGTTTAGGGTTTTGAGACTTAACTCCAAGCCTTACAGCTGAAAAAAGTAGGGTTCTTAATGCAGGGTTGCTTTGGAGTGCAGCCGACGACAGTTTCGCATTTCGCGAACCCAGACATCCAAAGGCGACGATAGCGACGCATTGTCCGAGCCCTAAACCCTAAACCCTACAGTAACCCTGAACCCTAAACGCTTCAAGCGCAGCGAGCGCGGCCACGCCCCGCGCCTAGGCGAGAACGCCATTTTTGCTCCAGAATGCGAGCTGGCCTTGAGAAAAAGGCCATGGTCCGGGCCACGGGCACCGGCTGCGCGCGCTGCTCACACTGGCCGATCTCTCTTGCTCTCTGCATGTTTCTTGTGGGGTCGCAGGGATGTGGAGGGGATGGTTTTGGGGTAGGGGATGTCTGCTGCTCAAACCCAGGACTCTGCAGTGTGCTGCTGAGACGCCCGGCAGATTAGGGGTGTCCTGCAGTTGCGCAGACGACTTCATCCATGTGCCATGATGTTGCATCATGCTTCCGGGAGGTTTCCACATGTTGTGCGCACTGGTTTCGGGATGTTTCACTGCCTTCCGTCCATGCATCAACATGGGGTATTCGTCTTGGTTGCATCCACGCTGCTTGTGACTCCGAGAGTTTTCGGTGGCGGCCGCATGTTGCAAACCAAAATAAACTGTGGCGCTGGCAACTCGCACCCTCAGTCAGTAGAAGTAGTTGCCTGGGGGCTAGGATGTCGGGTTATCAGGTGTCGGTGCTTACACCTCTAAATCCGTCCTCGGGATCATTTAGAGTCTGAAGACGCTGGGTCAGTTCGAAATAAGTGCAGTGCCACGTGTCAGCAGCCGCAGATCCTTCTAGCCGCAAGCGCGCAACTTCCGAACTCAAAGCTAGACCTCACCCTGGCAAATCCTGACCCGACATGGGGGGTTTCTGAAAGGAGGGTGTACGTTGGGGAATACCAACATGCCAGCTGCTTAGGATCCCGACCCGGGTTCCTTTGGGCTTTCACTGCAGCAGCATGGCGGCAGTATGGGTTCAGGGTTTAGGGTTTAGGTGTAGGGTTTAGGGTTTAGGGTTTAGGGTTTAGGGTTTAGGGTTTAGGGTTTAGGGTGATGATGTGAAGCCGGGTATCCGTAGCCCTTGGAATGAAGAGGCCTGCACGCAACCGAAATCCCAAGCTTGAGATGTTAGCCCAAGGGTCAAAGCCCGACGTCCTCAGACGCGAAGTGCGAGTGAGCATTGCGAGTTCTCAGCTACGGTAGCCAGCAAGTGCGCTGATCAAGCTGACATCTTGCCCCTAGCAGATGGAGGGTTTATAGGGTTTATAGGGTTTCCTAGCCCTAAACCCTAAACCCTAAAGTGTTATTTAGGCATTAGGGTTTCTTAGGGTATACAGGGCTTCTTAGGGTTTATGGTGTTTAACTACAGCGACTTCGACAGGCTTCGCGGCTGCTGGCTCCTTCGACCCAGCACACTGAGGGTGAGTTAGGGCTGGGGATTTAGGCGTCAGGGGCGTGCCAGAAGTCTAATCATCATGTCAGTAGTTGCTTCGCCTACTATTTGCTTAAGAACCCCAACAACAATGAAAGATAATAATCCCTATTCTTCCCGTATAAGGAAGTCTTTTTTTTTTTGGGGGGGGGGGGGGGGTTCTGAAGCAAATAGTAGTCGCGGTCTTGAATACCCCGCCCCAAGCCACGACGCCCATCGCTGCGGCAGTGCCGAAAAAGCTCACACTGCATGGGTTTAGGGTTTTTGGGGTTTTTGGGGTTTTTGGGTTTTTTTGGGTTTTTGGGGTTTTTGGGGTTTAGGGTTTAGGCTTTCGGGTTGCTCCAGCCTGTGGAGTGGTTGTTGGGATAGTCGGGCCAATTGAGGGCGGAAAATTGCAGGTTAAGGTGGAACAACCAAAGGCCGAACCATTACTTGTTGAAATTGCTCGCTCAAATCGAGGCCACTCACAGCTTTTTAGCAGCTGCCTTTTGAGTGCCAAGAGTATCTTGTTCAAAGCTGAAAGGTCCACCTCTTAACTCTCAGAATCTTGGAGAATTTCACAGAGTTTCCCACTTTTCCAAGGAAAGAGGCCCTGTGTGGGTCCGGTAGATGTATACGACTCTAAGCCCTAAAACCCTATGACCCTAAAACCCTAAAACCCTAAACCCTAAAACCCTAAAGCCCTAAAACCCTAAACGAATACCGGGTGCAGCGCCGACTCGAGCACTGCACCTCCGAAACTGAGAACGGCCGTTCCAGACCCTAAACCCTAAACCCGAAACAGGTGCTATTTCTGCTTCGATCTAGAAAGCCGAGGAAATATTTTAAAAAGCCAAACGTGGTGCTAACGGGATAGCTGAACCCTGAACTCTAGAACTTGTGGAACGGGTGTGTGTGTGTGTGGTATGGACGACAGCACCTCGCCTCGTTTCCCGAGAGCCCCGGTGCGAGTCTTCCCTTGGGGGAATGAGGTAACCACCCTATATCATCCCTTAAAGGGTATATATATATAGGGCCCTAATTCCCTCATTCCCTGCTAACCACCAGTAAGTTGTAGATGGGAGAGGAGAGGAGGGGGAGGGAAGGCGAATAGAAGTACCACCAGAAGGAGAGATCTTGGAGACGCAGAGGGTTTCTTTGGTATGATGCAAGCTCCTCTCCCCCCCCCCTAAGATTGGAGGATTGAGGGTCCAGGTTTAGGGTCTAAAGGGTTTAGGGGTTAGGGTTTAGGGTTTGTGGACTCACTTCATGGGAGCCTGGACATGTCCGTCATGGGGGGACAAGCACAGATGCGGCCGAGGATCTACTTGGCCAACGAGCTCCACGGCCGGATCTCTTTGACAAAGCCCCTGTGCTTGCAAGGGTTGCATGTTCCTTTCGGGAGCAATCTGGTAATCCCTAGGCTCTGAACCCCAAACTGTGTGGGCTGTTTGGACCCCAGTTCGGGGCTTTTGGGGCCAGAATCGCGCACTCGAACCATGCCATGGATTGGAAATTCTTATGTTCATGAGAAGGAGTGATTCTTCTTTCATTTGCACTACTGTATGTATATCTATATATATATATATTTATGTATATATATATATATATATTCATATATTTCGTTGTTGTTCTTATATACTATTGTATCCGATGATATCTCTTTTTCATAGTGCTTCTTATTTGTTTACACACTTTTATGGTGTTTTCTTTTTTGATATTAGTAGTATTTACCCCTTGGCCACCTTGCAACAAAAAGGCTTTTCCTAAAACCCCAAAGTCTTGACCCGCCGGTGCAGCCTCCTCAGCAAAGCTTCCGACTACGAAAACAGGGCTGCGGTTCGATGTTTGGGCTTCCAGATGTAGTTTGGTAAATCTTTTAGGGGTTTCGGGTTTAGGGCTTAGGGTGTAGGACTACAACTCAAACCTGAAAGGTCCCGAGCTTCCATGAAGCACAACGGCCGTGCCCTCAGTTGCCATCACAGTCGGGCCGAATCCCCATTCAGTGTGATCAGATGAAAATCCTCGATGGGTTTAGGGTCTAGGGTTTAGGGTTTAGGGTTTAGGGTGAGCCCCTGAATAATTTGAAAATGTTTTGGTGGCGTATGCACGCATGTACGCAAGCCTGGATGCAGAGTCGCGCAGAATCGATTCCATACAGACCCCGAAACAGAAGGCAGCCACTTCCGCAATAAACACTTCGCCACGCAAACCCGCCATGTTACACTTTCAGCAACACACTGCGGCCCTGGACCCGAAGCCCTAAACCCTAATCCCTCTCAGCCATCCCCGCACCTTATTAAGGTCTTGTCATCAAGCACAGCCTCCACTTCTACAGGCTTTCCTGCAAGGGTTGCAAGATCAATCTGGATTCTGCAGCATGGTTTGGGGCATGTAGGCGGGCAACTGTTGCATAAATATGTATATATATATACATACACATATATATATATAATTATATGTGTGTGTATATATATATATGGTTTGGGGTTTAGGGTTTAGGGTCCATAACTGTTACAAGACTCCGTTCGCCGTTTGGGCACAGGCGGCTCAGGCTCAATAGAGCATCTGAAGTCCTTTCCGCGCCATGGCCGAGCAGAAGTATGTCGCGGTTGGCGAAGACAAGGATGTCGCTGCCGAAGGCAGTGATGTCGTCGACGTGGAGCAGCTTCTGCCGGCCTTGGAGTGCCCATATCCTATTTTGGAATTGTTTATTGTTTTTCTGTTTATATAAATCCCAAGAGGATATTAAAAATATGATTTTTATTAAGGTTCTAAGGGGAGTATAGGTGCCGCGTCTTCGTAAAGAACCGGGCCTACTTCTTGTTTGTGACCGCGCGCGAGAAGATGGCGGAGGTGTGGCGCAAGGCTGGGCGGGCGCTGGGTGTCCGGGCGCCCACGGACCTGGAGCTAGAGGCCCTTGGCCCTCCGCAGACAGAGGCAGTGGTGCGAGCTTTTGAGCTGTGCCGCGAGTTCTCAGGACCCTCCTTATTCAACCACTGTATGCGAGCCTACTACTTTGCGGCCGCTGTGCGCTGGTTCGAAGCAGGTTCGCTGGAGGGACTTGACCTTGAGCAGATGGCTGTTGCCTTCGCCTTCCACGACTTCGGCTTAACAGCAACAAGCCGGGGAGAGAGTGAAGAGTCCATGTACCCCTTTGAGGTACGCGGCGCCCGCAAGTGCCTCCGTTTCGCTGCAACGCAGATGCAATTGACCAAGCAGCAGCTCACGGTCATTTACGAGCCTTTGGTTGCTTCAGAGGTCCGAAACTTCTATAGTTCGCATGTCGCTTCCGCTGAAACTAATAGTTTTCCTTTCGAAACAATGCAACCTCGCTAGTTCTATGCTGAAGCAAATTCTAGGAGGCCATACGCTTGCACACTGCCCTTGGCTTCGAGAAGCCCACAGAACTTGCCGGTCTCATCACTGTCGGTACATGCTGTGACGTCGTGGGCTATCGTTGTGAGGACTTGTCCAAGAAGACGAAGGAGTCCGTCCTCACAGCATATCCACGCCTCGATTGGAAGAAGGTGGTGGTGAAGGCGTTCGCAGACGACGCGAAGATGCCGAACCCGTCACCCGTCATGAGGCGCTACCAGCGAGAGTACTTCTTCAACTTGCTTGTGCGCATGGCTCCGTTCTCAGAGTAGGCAATTCTAAACCCCAAACCCTAAACCATGTGTAGTGTCGAAGGCTGCATGGGTTCACCCGCCTCTTGGTTGCATATCTGTCTCCCACCATACGCGGCACAAGCCGCTTGCGTGCCAGGCCACAGAGCGTTGGGAACATCCCTCAGCAGAAACAGACTAGGGTTTAGGGTTTAGGGTTTAATGATTTCAGTTAGTGCTGTCAGCTCGGAGAGAGCGATAGCTTGATCCAGGCGAGGACTCACGCAAGCCTGCTGCAAAAGGGCAGATCTCGATGATTGTCGGAGAGATCTTTTCGCAGTACATCGCAGAAACCACGCTTTCTGCAAACGTTTCTTTTCACATTCTTCAGACCCAGATCCAAACCATTATAGGACTTTAACCTGCTGAAGTCCGAGTAGCAGCACTTCGGGTGCCGAACTGTCCCAAGTTAGGTCTGCTCTGATAGGCTGAAAGCGCTTATAATGTATCAGTGGTGCCCTTTGTTTCGTTCGAGGTTCCCTTGTCAAGTAGCCAACCCCAGAAAGGGCACCCTTATTCGCGCATATTACGGTATGATTGCTGGGCTGCCAAGGTTTGTTGAACGCGGTGAACTTGTACTTGCTACCGGTTTCCAGGATGTCTTGAATCCCGCTGGGTTCTTCTACTCGGGATCAACTTTTAGAGGGCTTAGCTGCCGAGATTTCCCAACGCAATGATACCCAATGTCCTCACGCAAACCGCATGAAGCAATTGCCCTGCAAGAGACGGTTTGTGTGAACATGACACGCGCATCACGCTTTGGGCCCTGAGCTGTTTCAAAAAGACATGTCATGGGACTCTAAAAGGATGGGGCTTATAGGTTAGGGTATTTTGTGGAGGTTTGGGGCCCGCCCTGGGCTTAGGGCTTAGGGCTTAGGGCTTAGGGCTTAGGGCTTAGGGCTTAGGGTTTAGGGTTTAGGGTTTAGGTTTTAGGGTTTTAACCCGTGTAGGCCCACAAAAAGCAGAGCGCCGCGCCAGGAATGCGGCCGGAAGCCTGATCAAGGCCGGCAAGGCGCGAGGGTCCTGATCTGCCCCCTTAAAGGGCTCTTATCGAACCCGAGGTCCGACAGCATTGCAGAGATTCAAGTTGAACCCTAAACCCTATGCGGAGCTGCAATTGGTACTGTAGAAAAGAGTTAGTGTTGAGAGTTGGAAGGGTTAATGAACCCGGAAATCATGTTTGGCTCAAGATGGGCTTGAACAGAAAGCCACAAGTTCAAAAAGAAGTGCCTGGGTTCTTAGGGTTTGGTAAGGGTGTGGATTCCTTCCCCCTTTCCTTCCCCCCTGGGTTGCTCTTATCCGTGTTCTTGGTTGTTTCTTGGTTCGATCTGGGAAATATAAGTTCAGGGCGATTAGGGGAGTTGATTTCCTTCCTTGGTTGTCCCCCCGTAGGTTATGAGCCCAAATTAGGTTCCCTGCGGTTAAGTGTTCTTTCAAGGTTTTTGGGATCAAGAAGCAATGCCTTCCCCGAAGCGATGGCTCCAACTTGCCTCGGATGGTGGACAAGATGGTGGAGCTGGAAATGGTGCAGCTGAGTCTCTGGGTGAAAGATCGGTGTTGGAAGAGGTGATTCCCGACGCTGAAGTACATCTGGAAGAGGCCTTGGTTGCAGAAAGCCCCAATGCGGGTATGAATCCCAATAGGGATATGGTTAGCAATGCTGAAGCTGAAGGACGTGCTGTTTCTGTACCGCCAAAGCCTGGTGAAAAAAGGAACTGGGATGCGACTGGTGGCATAGATCGTGAAATGGAGGTGACTGTTTTACGAGTGTTACACAAACACGGGTACCAGCCGTCGTCTTCGACTTCGGGTCGAATGGTAGACCAAGAGTCTCAGACCGATCTGATTGGAGAAGTGCTACAAGCGACCAGGAGGCCGTTGAACAAGATCAAAAAGGGTCCATCTTCGAGTTCCCAAGGTGGTGGAAGCGGTCACAAACAGAAGGGTGCGGACGGCTTTGAAGCTGCACCTGCTGCTGAATACGCCATGGGGGAGGAGGAGATCCTACAGATGGAGGCTGAACGGTTGCGACAGCTGTCAGAAGAAGAGGACGAGATGCGACAGGTTTCTGAAAGGGACGGTTTTCGGAAAGACGAGCATCTGATCCAAGCGTGTGATGGCACAATGTGGGAATTGCACCTCCATGAAGATGGGAGACAATATTATTACTGCCTGGATACGCACGAAACCAAGTGGACATTGCCGGTGGTAGGTGAAAAGGTGAAGAGTGACGAGGTGGTTGGGTCTCCTTTGGGCAATGAGCTGGAAATGGAGGCGGCACTGGATTCTTCATCCTCTACTCCGAAGACTGAGTCTACGAGGGCATTCCAGGGTAGTGTAAATAGTTTAGGTGAAAAAGATTTTTCCTCTACTATCAGGGATAGCGGTCCTAGGGCTGATGGTGACGCCCCGACCTCGGGTTCTCCTGATGAGGAAGGGATTCCTGGGAACCAAGCCAACATCGCTGGAGCTCAACACCTGGATCGGGAAGAAACAGAAGCGCTTTCTGAGGGTGGGGCAGCGATGGAATTGGTGGATCCAGAAGAGAAAATGCCCAATGAGGTGATCGGAACTGTGTCGGCTGCAGAAGAGCGAGTGGTGGATGTGGTACCTGTTGTTCAGGAAGGTGGTCCTGGAGATTCGGAGGATGGAGAGAAAAAGTTGTGTGTTACGACTGAGGAGGTCTCTTCGTTTGGTGCCAAGAATTCTGCCATTCAAGGGGAAAAAGAAGCTTCTGGAATAGCTGGAGACACGGATGATCTGAAAAATGAGGCCTGGAGCGCCAATGATGCGCGGGTTGATGCGCCAGATATTACCTGGAGTGCGAAGGAAGCACGGGTTGAGGTGCATGTGGTGGTACGTTCCACGGGCGACTGCAACAATGGGGCGCAGGTCTCCGCAGCAGCTGATGATGGAGGTTCACAGGTGGACGCACTGGTGCAACCTGAAGTTAGCAGCGAGGAACGAAATGACAAGGGCTACACCGGAGCCAATGAGGCAGCTGTGGTCAATGATGGTGGAAATTCTCCTTTGGAGGCCATGGAACCAAAGGAGCCTGCGGTGGAAGAAAGCGTGCCTGCCGTGGATGATCGACTCAATTGCCCTGCAGTGGAAGAAGATTTGCCTGCTGCAGAAGGTGAGACAAAGGACTCCAATGATGGGTCCACTCCCATGAAGGGAGAAGCGTTGCCGTCTGGAAGTTCACCGGAAGTCGACACCGAGCGAACTACAGCAGATGAGGCAAAGCCGTTGGCGGAGAAAAAGGGAGGTCCTGAAATCCAGGAGCACAAAAAAGATGAGCTTGTGGGACTCGTGGAGCAGGACGAGCAGTGTGACCCAAAGGTGAAGACAAAGGATGCGCCAGGAGCCGATGATACAGAGATGGTTTCTGAAGAGCGTGTAAAGAAAGTGCCCCGAGCGGGAGCCTTGGAGTCACCTGGGCCACATTGCTATCAAGAGGGAGATGAGATCATGGGTCTAGTGCGCTGCATCAATGGGTATGGAGCCTTTTTGGACCATGGGGATATGAATGTATTGATTCCTGCAGAAGGGAACAATGCATATCAGTTCAAGTTTGGTGATACTGTCAATGGAACAGTGAAACGAGTGGAAGATGATGGTACCATAATCTTGGACACCTTTCTGGTTTTGGAAGAGGACGTGGAGGACTCTTCTTCGACGCTGCGGAAGTGGAAACCCAGCGGCTGGAGTACGTGGTGGACGGATTCATGGTATGCTGGTCAATGGTACCAAGATTCCAACGGTCAATGGGACTGGAAACAGGAGGAAGAGCAATCCGATGAAGAGCTTGTGGTACAGGAGTTGTCTTCTGAAGAACGAAAAGAAAGGCAACTTTATGGAGAAAAGATCTACAAAGCTCTTCTGGAGAATGGAAATGAAGAGGAAGCCTATGTTGGCAAAATTACTGGGATGCTGTTAGGTCGGCCGATGGAAGATTTACAGGAGTGTGTTGCGGATCAGGCATTCCTCAATGCGGAAGCTCGGCGCGCGTATGGCATCTTGCAAGATGATGGTTGGGAGCCTGATGGTACAGAAAACACAGGTTTGGGGGAGTTAACCACCTTTTCCCGAACACAGTACCACAACGCGCTCTTCGAACTGGCACGTAGGAAAAGGAGATTTTCTCGACCAGTTGTGGGTGATGCGGTGGCAGTGGTGCTGGATCAAGGGGAAGAGGAGTTTTGGAACGCGCTTTGGTTGGACACCAAGCTATTTTTGCAGGAGCTTGATGGTGCAGTGCAATCCATGAGCAAAAGGGAGAACAAGCCAATGGAAGCCTACATGGATCCTGACCAGTACAAAAAGGCTTACATGACACCAAAGACGGTGTTGTCACCTGGTTACAGCAAGCTGTGCAGGTTCTTCAATAAGGGAAGGTGTCGCAATGGCGATGGGTGTCCCTATGAGCATCGTCGGTACGGTGAAGGTTGGCCAGAAGGGGGGTCAACTGATCCAAAGAATAGCCAAGAAGCTGATGATGAGGACGGGAACATCGGTGACCCTCCCACAGAGGAAGGTACAGTGGATGAGGCACAGCAGGAGCGGGAGGATTTAGCCTTCCGGGCCAAGTACAATTTTGGCAAAGGTGCATCAAAGGGTGAGCCTACGTCAGGTGAGCCAAAAGGTCGGCTGTGCTTGTATTACAATCAAGGTGCTTGTAAATATGGGACTGCATGCAGGTACCTTCACAACGATGATGTAGCATTGGAAGGGACTTGGGAGCCCGGCAAATCTTGGGACAATGCTTCCAGGAAGGCGCTAAGGGACGCAGGGTTCCACAATTGCTGTTTCGATTATTACCTCCGAGGACGTTGCCGGAAAGGGTTAAATTTCTGCAAGTACTCACACGACGAGATGTCCGAGGAGCGGTCAACACTCCTGAAACACCTGGTACACGTGGCCAATCAGGTCCGGTTTGAAAAGGAGAGAGGATGGGAGATCTCGGACAGAAGCACTTTTCA